AAAAAATATCTTTATTGGAGTATCATTGCTTTACAATGTTGTGTTAGTTTCTGCTGTACAACAAAGTGAATCAGCTGTATCTATACATATATCCCCATATCCCCTCCCTCTTGAGCTTCCCTCCCACACTCCCTATCCCACCCCTCTAGGTCATCACAAAGCATCGAGCTGATCCATTTTTCTGGTCTCCTCATAAGTCAATTAGTATTTCTACAAATTTATCATATTTATTTGTGATTTACATGGGACTTAATTGAAAAAGAGATTCAAACATGATTGTAAGATGAAATGGGATTTTAAAATTACATACTTTCTAAATTAATTGGAAGATGATGAGATTCACTAAAAAATTTCCCCTGACTATGGATCCCTGGACAAATTACTTAGCTATTTGTCTCAGTTTTTTTTATGTAAAATGAATTGAAAGAGGTGATCATTTCTATGCTCTATGAACCCTAAAATTCTCAAAATATTTTCATGGCATCTTTCTGACACCCTTTCCTAACCAGCTCTAATGCAATAATATATATATAAGGAAACAGATAATAAAATTTAAAAAGCAACTATCAAGTAGTTAAAGGACTCTTAGGTATATTTTGTATAAGAAATCACACCTAGTTTGACCTATATAAAGTAAGTCTCCCCATTACAATGGATAGATGTGATATGAACTTATAAAGAGCAGACTTTTAAAATATGCATATACATATGGAATTAATATAGTATCCATACCCTGCTTGGGGAGAAGTTTGAAATCTTTGGAAAAGAATATAGAGTGGGGCTTCCCTGGTGACGCAGTGGTTGAGAGTCTGCCTGCCGGTGCAGGGGACACGGGTTCGTGCCCCGGTCCGGGATGATCCCACGTGCCGCGGAGCGGCTGGGCCCATGAGCCATGGCCGCTGAGCCTGCATGTCTGGAGCCTGTGCAAAAAAAAAAAAAAAAAAAAAAGAATATAGAGTGTTTCCTTTTTTGCCCTTTTAAAAAATAGTGAGGCAAACATTTTCTACAGTTGTAAATAGGCAGTAAGACTATGGAGAGGAAAAGAAAATTAAGGTGAAGGGTAAGTCTACAGGCAAAGGAAGTCATGGGCCAAAGCAGCATGGTTGTGGGAAGTGGAGAATTATGGAGTAATGAGAAGTAAATTAAAGTGGCTAAGTTAAGTAAACGAGTCTGGTTGAATAAGTAGGGGTAGGCCGCTGCATAGCCTCAGACCTACCTAATCAACAGTAGCAGGATCTGCCCTGGATACCAGACAGTTCATTAAAATCAAAATATAAATAGGCTGTCAGGGAGAGAGTCCTCACTTTTATTCCATTCAGTCATCTGGCCAGATTGTTCTATTACTCATGACTTCTAACACCATATAAAGAAATTTTATTCTAGATGAAACTGTGTTTAAAGAAGCTCATGTATTACTATAAGTATGCTTCTGGTATTAAGTTAAACTGCTTGCTGAGAATTATGGCTCATTCTAATGGCTAATCATAATGCTATTTATTTTAAAATATTTATTTATTTATTTTAAAATATTTATTTATTTGGCTGAATCAGGTCCTAGCTGCGGTGTGCGGGATCCTTAGTTGCAGCATGTGGGATCCTTAGTTGCGATATGCGGGCTTCTAGTTGCGGTATGCGAACTCTTAGTTGCGGCACGCATGTGGGATCAAGTTCCCTGACCAGGGATCGAACACAGATTGGGAGTGTGGAATCCCAACCACTGGACCACCAGGGAAGTCCCCATAATGCTCTTTAAATCAGTTCTCATTTGCTTTCTTACATATCTGAGCCAATGATATACTTGATATAAATATGCAATTTAGAATAAGTCATTGTTCTATGTCAAAATAAAAACATGAGCATAAAATAACAATATATATACTATACTATATATATATAAAATGCTATGTGAGTATATGTATATACATATATATTTGATTTTTGTCATTTTAATTACAATATGTGTTGGTGTGTTCCTCCTTGGGTTAATTCTGTATGGGACTCTGAGCTTCCTGGACTTGGGTGACTGTTTCCTTTCACAGGTTAGGGAATTTTTCAGCTATTATTCTTCAAATATATTCTCAGGCCCTTTCTCTTTCTCTTCTCCTTCTGGGACCCATATAATGAGAGTAGTAGTACACTTGATGTTGTCCCAGGGGTCTCAATTTGTCCTAATTTCTTTTCGTATATATTTAAATACATGCACTTCAACTGGTACTGGCATAATTCTTAACAAACTTCAAGAGTTGCAAAGAAGACACTATGAAACAATGTTGGATATTTATTATAAGTTGTTAAAAAATAGCATTTTGATTCCAGAGTCTACTGGCTGTGCTGTTCACCATAGGAAGCCCCTAGCCACATGTACTTATTGAGCACTTGAAACGTGACTAATGGGAATTGAAATGTGCTTTAAGTGTAAAATTCACAAGATGAACAAAAGAATGTAAATTATGTCATTAATAAAATTTTATATTGGTATGTGCAAAGGACAATATTTTGGATATACTGTTTAATAACATAAAATGTTATTAAAATTAATTTCACTTTTTAAAATTGGAAGATTTTATGTTGCATACCTGGTTCACATCATATTTCTTTCGGACAGTGTGGATTTACAGTGTAACAATGCAATTTCCTCCCGTTAACCAAGATCAGGCCCATGGACTGCACACACTGCAGAGTGCTGACCATGGATAAGACTGAACAGTCTTTGCTTTGGCTGTTCTGCCCAGTGCATTCAGGAATTCTCAGCCAGCAGCTCAGAACCTCAGTCACAATGGTGACCTATGCTATTTGTTATAACTCCAAGGAAACCAAGAAGACTTTAACAAGTCTGTATATTTACCCAAATGATCTTCGATAACACACATACACACAATATCCCCAAAGATCCCAGAGAGTTCTTCAGAATAAAAAAAGTTAAGAATTTCAGTCTAGTGTCTGCATAGAAGATCGGGAGTACCACTAGTTATTAGGTAGGTAAGAAGATGGTCCAAAAACTCTTTAAGGAACTAAATGTGCTTAACAAGATGAGACCTCTAAAACAATGTTTAAAAAGAAAGAAAGCCAGCAGGAAACTGCCTTGGCTTACATTTGCTGGCTCTGGCATTGAGCTGTGTTGTAGGCAAAGGTCATCTCAGAACCCTTACCCTAATTTCCCTTTGTGGCATCCTTTCCCTTCTTGCTATTCTCCCTGTTTGGAAATCCTAGTGCCTTTCTCATCCCTGTCTCTTTCATCTGCCTCTCTCAACGGAAAGGAAAATAATCTTTTGTTAGTGTAAAGCCAGTAGAAGTGTGGGCTGATGGGTGCCACATACTGCTCCTGATGAATTACAACTTGGTTATTTTTTGGACTTTTATTAGATCAGCTTTATGTTTACAGCAAAATTGAGAGAGGGTTTCAGAGATTTCCCATGTACACCCTGCCCCCACATTTGGTTGTTTTTTAAAGCCCTAAACACAGAAATTTATTTTTCTTTTATTACCAACTTCAGATTCCAGTTTTCCTAAACTGTTGCTTTAAATGAAGGTTTAGATTACTAATTTCTGTAAATCCATTTGCTGTTGCATGAAGCATAGTCTCTTTGGTTAGCAGCTATACTTCACTGAGGCCTTAAAGATTTTTGCCTCTCTCCATCCTAATAGTAATCACCAGATAACTTTTAACATATTCCCTCACAGCTGCGGCAGGGAGGAGTGGCAACTCCTGGAGGTGAAGCGGGTTAGAAAACCCACCTTCTGGTAAGCGTCCTTGTGGTCTTTATAGATTGTTTCTCCTCCGATAAGGACAGCTGTGATAAAACGAATGAATGGAATGCTTTGTTACAGATGGAATTACTACGTCCCCCCACCCGCTACCTAAACAATACCTGAAAACGGGAAAGCTGTGGGATTAAGTAAAGACATTACACACACAGTGCAGAAAAAAGTTATTTTATGGCATTTTGAGGTGACTAGGTCAGAGTTCCCAAGTAAGGAGCAAAGTAAACACCAATTTTATTTACTTCGCACATTAGTACTCAATTTCACTGTTTTAAAAAATTCCCAACTTTTATCCATAAGGCTAGAGATATATAACAATTTATGTGGTTTTCGGCAAAAGTCAAGGAAGCGAGAAAGCATTGACAGCTGCCGGTCTCGCCGCCACCGCGGCTACAGCGGCGGCGTGCCCGTGTGGCTGCGTGCGCGCGCGACGGGCGGGGCGGGGCGGAGCGGAGGCGGGCACGCGCGCGCGCACGGGGCGGGGCGGAAGGGAGTTGGGCGGAGGGGCCGGCGCGCGCGCGAGGCTGTCCGGTCGGCAGGGGGCGCTGCGCACCCACGCGGCGCTCTGCCTGCCCCCGGGTGCCGTCCGCGGCGGTTCGATTGGAGCAGCCGCCGAATAGCGCTTGGCGCCATTTTGAAGCGGAGAGGAGGAGGAACGGCCGGGCTGGCTGCGGAAGGGGAGGGGGGGGAGGAGGCGATTGGATGCGGCGGCGGCGGCGGATCCCGGAGAGCAGCGGAGTGAGAGGAGTAGCGAGTCGGCCACCCGGAGGTAGGAATCAATTCAGTTAACGGGAAGAAAATGTCTCTTCCCTCTGGTCGCCGCGCTCCATTTTTCAGCGCCCGCCACCGCGGCTGAGTCTGTGGCGGGGCTCAAGCGCCGCCCGCCTGCCAGCCGAGACTCGCCTCCCGGCATCGGGGGCTGCAGCCGCTGGCTGCCTGGCGGCGGCGGGGCCGGGAGGAGTAGGGCGCGGGCCGGGGGCGTGGGCCGGGTTCTGCGGTGGGGGTGGGGAGGGCCCCACGGCCGGCGCGCTCCCTCCACGCCGCGGACTCAGCCGCAGCCTCTGGAAATTAAACTTGCCGCCCTGGCAGGGCTGGGGCGCCCGCGGCGACGAGGGCGGCGGGCGGCGGGCGGTGACCTTGCGCGCTGCCGGGGGTCCGCGCCGGCTGCCCGCCGCCCCGCCGCCCGCGCCCCGCCGCCCCTCCCCCAGCGCCCGGCAGCCCGGCGGCTGTTTCCCGGGCGGCAGGCGGGCGGCGCGGCGCTCCTGTTGAATCCTCCCGCGGGCGGGTTTTCCCCTTTCCGGGCGAGGGGCGGGGAGCGCGGGTCGGGGCTGACCTCGGGGCGGTGTGCGGGCCTCGGCGCCCTCGCCCCCGCCGCTGGGTCGCCCACGCCGCGCAGCCTCCGCTCCGGGCGACGACAACGGGCCGACAGAGTGACATTTTTATCCTGTTACTTGCCAGTCGCGGGAGATAAAGCGCGCCTACCGCGCCTCTTGGAGCTGGTGTTGGAGGCACCCGAGGACCTAGTTGAGGAAGAGTCCAGCACGGGCTGGAGTGGCTTCTCCCGGGCCACCACTGAGTTCTAGCTTTCCTTTCGGAATCCTCGGAGTCGGAGCGACCATGCAAACGGTGTGCAGCTGTACAGTTGACATTTTTGCAGTCTCTTATCTTAGTGACACCTGAAAAGTTTCTGGTCGAGAGGAAACGCTTGTTTGTGGTTTCTTGCTGCTGTTGCCTTTTGGTATACACGTTAAAGCTACGCTAAGCCGCGGTACAGTTATTCGAGGGAATGAGTCTGAACCCTGAAACGCTGCACCTCGTCGGCTTCAGAGTTGCCTGTTCCTGCGTTCCTTCGCGGCCGGTGTAAACTCGGGGTAGGGTTTGAAAGAGCAGGTCCCTGCCTACTTGACACGTTTAGGCATCCTAACCAACCCCCGAAAGGGATTCCTTTATTTGATTTTGAAGGACGTGCTTTGAACGCTCTTCTCACACTTCTGTTATGAAATGATGGATGGGCAGTACTGTCCTGAACGACCCTACCCAACCCTGTTTGTTAAACCGTTTAGGAGACTGTGGATGTAGCCTTTACGTTCGAAGGTTGGTCTGCGGTCTTGAGTGAGTTTTGGAGGTCTTCTACTGTCTTCCTAATAACTTCTAAAAGTTCAAGTGTGTTTATATATGAGGCGAGCTGTAAGTCATAATTATTTAAAACTTGAATGGCAGTATAATCATTGTTCTCAACACATGTAGATGAAGTTCCAAGATAGAGCATTTTCTATACTTACGTAAGCAGTAGTCAAGTAAAATAGTTAAAGGCACAAAAATGGTATTAAGCAAAATGTGGGCTAGAAAGGACACTTATTTATGCAGTACATATGTCGGAGATGTTAGCAATTTTAGACAATAAGATGAGCATTCCTCTGGTGTGTGCAGGTCAGTTTGTGGAACGATTAATCTGCTATCGTCTGGTGATAGCAGAAAACCTAATTAAAATTTATAGTGATGAACATGTAGGTGACAGTTTCAACATGGAACTTCTTATAGAAAGGTAGATTTATTTTGAAAACCTTAACTGTAAAAAAAAAAATTGAGAACATTATTCTTTAAAAAAAAAACCTTAAATGAGAACATTATTCTTTCAAAATAAATGTACGAATGTATATAGAAAAGGTGCACATTAGATATTCTTTGATTACTGAAATAGTAATTTTTTGTGTGTGCTTTTTTGATGGTTTAAAAAATTATACTCTGGGTTTTACTTGAATGTGTGAATATTTTAAATGACAAGGTAGTGTTTGTATTGGCCTTTATTTTTTCTTAAAGAACTTTTGTGCCCTTTCTTATTTTCTCCTTTTTTGTTGAGGTTGATTCTCCTTGTATTAACTTTGTTTTTTTACAGTGGCTTTTGTACTCTTCCTGTCACTTTCATTCTTGTCTGGTTATGTCTTTTTCCTCACTTTTCCCAAGAATTAGAGGAGGTAACGTGGTGAAGATAGTGATCCTTGCTGTCGTGGAATGTTTTGTACTAAGCGTATTTGACAAGTAGTTCTACTGAGTTGGCTGTTGGATAAAAGTTTTAATTTCTAAATTTACTTTAAAATGGTTTGCAACTTTAATGGATACAAAGAGTCATGTTTTGAGGACCAGGCTTTGTCAATAATTTGTTAAGCCTAAAATAAAGTGATACGCTGTATTAGACAGGGCTTACCCTGGTGAAGACTGAATGGTACCCAAAACTTTGTGTAGAGGGGAGTATTTTGGGAGATTGTGTTCTTTCTGCTTCTCCCTCTTGGAGATTAGGATTGTCCTGTGGCTTCTTCAGTGCTACTTCTTTTGATCGTGTGTGCCTAGAACTAACAGGAGAGCTCACTGATTTCGCTTGGATGACAAGTACTGTATATAATCTATGTTAGAAAAGAATAAATTTGTATTTCCTTTATTAGTGTTAGAGAGCTATAAGGAAATTTAGATGATCTCCAACTCACTCATTATATGCATGAGAAATTAGGTTCAGATTGTAACTTGATTGATTTATTCAAAGTCACAGTCATATTCTTGTGGAATTGAGGCAGCCCTTACATCTCCTGGAGGCTTAGAAGTATCCACGTGGTCTGTATTGTTTTATTCAGGACTTAAGCAATATTTAAAATTATTGCCAGGTAGCATATTATTCTCTTTCTCCTTTCCCCCCTTTTTTTTCATTCAACCAAGAAAGTTTCGAGGTTAACCATCTGTTTCAGAGTCTGGTTTTAATAATTTCTATCCAGGATTCGGTCCACTTAAATTGTCTCAGAAGATAACCTCTTGCATGTCTCTGTCTCCTGGAGTTGCTTGATCTTTCATTGTGTAACAATACTTGACAAGGCATTTATTTATTCTTTGTAAGCCGGGGTAATTTGGAAGTTAGTGTTGAACTTTATTTTGTTATAAGATGCATGTGTGCATGAATGTGTTATTTTTTTATTTTTTACTTTCTCTTTTTTTACTTTTAAACTCAATTTGCTACACAAGTCATTTGCTTCCAGTTACAGTAGGTGTTTGGAGAAAATTGTATTTGGTTTGAGTATTCCTGTTTGGAAATGTTAAAAATTCCAAAAATACTTAGTCTAACAATAAACCCAGTAATTTCTCTGAGAATATATTTACTTTTTAAGTTCATTTAAGACGTTGCCAAATGGTTCAAAATTGTGCTTCCTTGGAGTGTAGAGGTCAGCTCTTCCTCACACTGTACTGTCATGAACCACCTGATTATAACCATTTTCCCCAATACTTAAAAAGGTTTTATAACTCTTTCTCACTGATTAGTTCAAAATTAAGGATAAGTTTGCTGTAATTGTTTCAGTTGATAGGGGTGATCATGCTCAGTGAGAAAATCGTGAAGATTAAAGTCAGATTAGTTAAATTTAGTTGTTTAAACCTTAAAGCCATTACTCTGAGATGTTTAAAAATATCCATGATAGTTATTGTGCTCTAATGATTAGACATCAGTGATAAGCAGTAATTAGAAATACTTGGTTTAGCTGTGTAAAACTTATAAGTCAGCTAAGGGGAGTGGAGGAAAGACTGATAAGCGGGAAGCTAATTTGAGGCATCTTTAAAGGACCATGATCTAGAAGTACTCCACTAACTTGCTTCCCTTTGACAGAGATTGCTCTGACCTGATTCAGTTAAAATGAACAAATACTAAGCTTCATATATATACTGTACCATGGATGATGTAATAAACAGGACAGAGACTCTGCCCTATAGAAGTTTCGAGTGGTGGTTTGCCACTTGCACCAAGGTGATGAGAGCTGAGAAAAACCAGAGTAGGATCCCTGCTGTTAAGTGATTCTACCAGGGCCAGGCCTTCCTCCCTCTTCAGTGACAGTTGAGGTTGCTCTTTATGTGGGAGAGTGAAGGAGGGGACATTATGACCACAAGCATTGTCTCTCTCTTGGAGAGAATGGTTAGGGGGCCCAAAAGGAAACAAGAGTTTGTGGTTCCCTGGGCAGTGTAGGGATTCTTTTTCCCTTTCATCTCAGAGGTGGTTTTAGAGAAGTAAGGGAAGAGATTTTTAAAGAAAAGTCCCAGATATATATCCAAAGTGTATTTACAGAATGCATCCCTAAGTAGTTGAAATTCCGCCAGGCAATTTCAGTTAACCTTCAGATACTGGGATGGGGGTTGGGGTGCGTATGGAGAGTTGGTAGTGAGAGTTGTTAAGGTTGGCGGGAACAGAGTACTTTAAAGAACTATATTTTAAGTTAAAAGTTATACATGTATATGATAAGGAAATTCTTGTGGTACAGAAAATAAAAATAAAAGCTACTTTATCTCTTCCCCCTAAAAGGTAATCCACTGTTAACAGTTTTCAGAAAATTTACTTTTCAAAGAATTTATGCAAATAGTATTATACTTACTGCTTTTTTTTGTTGTTGTTAAAAGCTATATTGTTTACTTTTTTCCTGAAATTTACTTTTTTCTGTAGTTGATGTCATGTAGCTCTTCTCATATTGGCACATATAGATCAACATAATTTAAACAATGATTAGAGTATTAATATGCATGTGTCACCACAGTTTATTCTGACTCCTTTTGAGTGGTATGTAGGTTGTAACTACTTACACAAACCGACAGTATATGACTATGACTGTTACATGTTTGCCAACATTGGGCCTTATTAAACTTTATGCCTTTTGCCGATTTGATATGTGAAGTTTGTATCTTGTTTTGGGTTTGCATTTTGTTGATTATGAGGAGGGGAAAACATTTTTGTATGCTTATTGGGCAGAGGTTACTTGCAGCGCACACTGTAGATTGAGTAGATTAAGTTATCTGTGCACCCCTCCCCCCCCCATCTAAAATGGTTTGAGGGAGATGGAACTTTTAGAGAGAAATAAGGTTTCAGAGCCCGTGGCACGTTGAGGGGGAGCAGTGCTCTGAATGGAGAGGCTGCAGTGCTAGACTTTGAACAATAACCAGAGGTTAAGTATTGAAAGCCCTTAACTTGGTCTTAATGGAAGATTATATAAAGGCAGGAAGGGAGATTTGAGAGTCAGGGCAAGTAATTTCATATAGGGTAAGCTCTATCTCCTACTGTCTGCTTGTCCTGTCTCACCACTCCCCCCTTGTGCCCCAACTGTCATTTCATTTTTATTTATACTTCCCTGGTGGGGTGGCAACCTTGACTTTGATATTTCAGTTCTTCCAGAGATGAGGAACACTTAGTTTTTATTATAAGGGAAACTGATTTTTCTTCAAACCAAAGGGAGCAGTTCTCATTTCTAATGTTCTTTAGATCTATTTTCTGATCTTTAGTAGTCCCTCTTTATAGTTGATATTCTGCTAGTTTCAGGGGCATTACATGCTGACCTGTGCAGAAGTTGGCATGACTGCATGAGCTTTGTTCCTATTTAATCCCTACATGCTGCCCCCACCCCAGCTTCACATTTTTTTTTTTAATGAAATAAGTTTTTTTTCTTAGTAGGCTTGGGAGGCAATTGATTTAAAAGGCTCTTCTCTGTTACCACCTATCCCAACCCCCCGCAAATGGTAAGTATGTAGAGATGTGTTAATTAGCTTGATTGTGGTGATCTTTTCACAGTGCATACATATATCAAAAGACAAGCTGTATACCTTAAATATCT